ATTAGAGAACTCTTCTACTGTGGCAGACACTGCATTGTTTTCACTAAGCCCATTAAATGTTCCTCTGCAATGGAGGTCAAAAGGGTATTCTTGGAAACATGAAAAATTCATCTAGCTCTTCTCTTGGTCTCTCATATAACCATGTCTCATATATACACACAGAGATATATAGGCATGTGATGTTTGGATTCGGTGATGGCTTATGGTGTCGTAATGTAATCTTTTTTATTACCAAAAATAGAAACCTGAGGAGAGAGAAGAACAGGTGTGAGGAGAGAGAGTATAAGTGGAAATAGAAAGAAACCCCACGCATACATCTTTCATGGTTGCTCTGTTAAGAACAGTTTCAGTTCTCTGACATCATTATTTCAAAAACTTGTTTGAATATTTGTCACCTTTATATTCTTCTGCCCACGCTTCTAAAATATACTATTTCCTTGTATATGTATAAATGTAGGTATATAAGACCAAAACTCTGTATACCCATTTTTAGATGCAATTCATATTCATATATACAATAAATAAAGAAGCATATGCAATCTTAGTTTGAAGCATTATTCAACGAAAAGCAAAAACCTAACACTTGAGCACATAATGGCATAAACATGTAGTATTCAATAACAAGAAATTGTAACGGTTAGGTGAGTGCATGCACATATTCTTATTTTCAAGTTTTTGTTTTGAAAATCTTTTAGAAGTTAATTATGTTGAATATTTTGTAACTTATGTTCTTTTTTTCGTGTGTTTTATATTATTGTAGATTATTTATTTATTGTACATTGTGTTTAGTTGCCCAAAGAAAAAAAATGGGACATTTACAAAAATACCACTTTTTGTGTACACATTTGCAAAAATATCACTTTTGATGTCCATTTGCAAATATGCCACTAATTATGATTTTTTAGAGCCTAAATCTTAAAATTCTAAACCCTAAAAATTTTTTTGACCCATAAAACTCCTTAAACCCTCAAAACTAAACCCTAATACAACATAGTTAACCGAAACATAAATGATATAATGAATAAATAATTTTGAAAAAGTGACATTTTTTTAAAGATTGTAAAAATGTGGCATTTTTGTAAAGTGGTACTTAAAAAGTGGCATTTTTTGAAATTTCTCAAAAAAAAAATACATTGTGTTTCATTTTAGTCATTTTACTTATTTAATGATTTTTAAATTTATTTTCGTGCTATACATAAATTTCATAGTCGTATAAAATTAATAATTTAGACAACATTCATTGAACTTTTTTAATCAAAATCGTCTGACGGAAAGAAAGAAAAACTCGTCTTCTCATCCGTACTACATGAAAAATAAAGAGAAATTTTAAAAAATGCCATTTTCCAAATGCCACTTTACAAAAATGACTTTTGAAATTTTTACAAAAATGCCACTTTTTCAAAATTATTTTTTCTTTATATTATTTATGTTTGGGTTAATTATGTTCTATTAGGGTTTAGTTTTGAGTGTTTAGGAGGTTTTAGGTGTCAAAACATTTTTGAAGGTTTAGAATTTTAAGATATAGGCTTTATAAATGTATAATTAGTGACATTTTTGTAAATTGACACCCCTAAGTGACATTTTTGTAAATGTACACTCAAAAAATGGTACTTTTGTAATTACCCCAAAAATAAATTGATTAACATAATATAAAACTTAATATGTAATAATTTTATCACAATATTTTAGATAATTTTTTTTTTAACATTGTATAGAATTTTGTTTTTGAACAAAAGCAAATCTGATAATACACTTGTTTGGAAGACAAATACTATAATCGAAGAGACTCATATTTTAACATAGATTAGTGTTGATTTTTGAATGTGTTAAAATAATTTTGTAAAAGACAATAACCAATATATTCGGATTTTGTTTTTGGTTTTTTTTTCTAATGATTCAGCAATATTGATTAAAAATAAATAAAACAACTCTACAAAAAGAAAAAGAAATCCGTAATACAGCAAGACGACGTAGCATAATT